TCAGATTACTGCTAACCAGAACTCCTAAATCTTTTTCGCAATCCGTAATATTAAGATCTACTATTTAGTTTATATGTGGCATGGTTATTTGTCCTGTCCAACATTTAGAACTTTGCATTTGTCTATATTAAACTGCATCTCCCACTTCTCCGACCACTGCATCAGTCTATTCAAATCTTCCTGGAGTGCTTTAATGTCCTCGTCAGAATGAATTTCGACGGCCTATTTTGGTGTCATCGGCAAACTTGCCGATGTCGCTTTTTTATGCCCTCATCTATGTCGTTTATGTAGATTGTGAACAGCAGGGGGCCCAACACTGACCCCTGTGGAACACCGCTCGTAACGTTTCCCCCACTCTGATTTCTCCCCATTTATGCGAAACTTCTGCTGCCTATTGTCAACCATGCCTCTATCCCGGAAAAAAATTTCTCCTCCTATTCCATGTGCTTTAATTTTCCTTTAATGTCCTTTTGATGTGGGACCCTGTCAAAAGCCTTACTGAAGTCCATATACACAATATCATATTCATTACCATGATCTACCTCCTCAAATACCTTAATGAAAAAAAGTTAATAAATTCGCAAGGCAGGAACGCCCCTTTGTAAAACCATGCTGAGATTCGTTGATTAATTTTGCTTTTCAAGGTGGCTACGAACTTTCCTCGGCAATTATTTTGATTCCATAAATTTTCCACTATTCGAGTAATGCCAGAGTGCTTAGTGGAGGTTTAATCCTCCGACCACTAAACATGGCCAAATACCAAAGAGGAATTAGGTAGAAAATTCAGAGACGTAAAATCGTTTTCGGACGTAGAAAAATGATATTTCTACGACAGATAATCTGTAGTGACTGTAATACAGAAGTATCAAAAAATATAAATTTAAAATTAGAGATAAAAATTTACAGGCAAATTTGTAATAGCAGAAATTAAGCTTGAATGTAAGGGAAAACGTATGTTTGGTAGAATTGAATTTGACAAACTTACAATTGCCCCGTAGACAGAATTAAGATAAAACATAAGGGTGGTGCCTGCATGCTGGTGTAAGGTAGTTAGCCATTAAAAAAAAAACAATTACATTTACCGCATTAGTCTGGCCAAAACTGAGGACAGTAACTAGGATTCAACAGCCTGTGCGTGAGAAAAGTTCTTCATATTTTTTAACCCTGCCTTATTTTATATGAAGGATAGACACTATTTTTGCGAAAAAAGGCTGCAAGTTGGTATGATAATTCTACCGAATTATAAAAATTCAGATGTTTAAAAAAGGGGAGTACCGTAAAAACAAGGCTTTTCAAATGTGAAAGAAATAACCTTGGAATGCACATTTTAAAAATGTTAGTAGATTTTACCGAAAATGTTTTGGAAGGTCACACGTGAAAACAAAATGTACATTTTACTGTGGAAAAATTTCGTCTTTAGGTTTTTTGAAACCCTTTCATACAATCAGTGGTTTTTCAGTCGAGTAAGAGGGGCAGTAGAATCAGTAGAGATGTAAAGATGTAACAGTCTTACCCTTGAAGAAGTAGTTTTTAGGTGGTCAGTCCCTGAGCCTGGAGGAGAGTTTTGCTCCCTAGTCTGGAACAGGAGGGGACGGAACCCATATGTAGATGTAAGAATGTATCACTGAGAGGACAGGTCCATTCATCATAGTTCTGGTTAGCAATAATCTAAAACCAAGAACACAGTGCATAAGTGTTCGCAATAAAGCTAACAGAATACTTGGCTCATATGTAAAAGGGCATAATAATAGGAGTCCTCAGATTGTTCTTCAACTCTTTTATATCCTTGGTTGGCCTCATTTAGACTAGGGCTGCACAGTTTTGGTCACCGTATTACAGATGGATATAAATGCACTGGAAAACGTACAGAGGAGGATGACAAACTTGATCCATGTATTAGAAATCTTTCCTTTTGAGGACGCACTGAGGGGCCCTGAATCTGCACTCTCTAGAAAGGCGTACAATTAGGGGGGATAGATTGAGGCGTATAAAATGGAAAACAGGAATAAATAAAGAGGATGTAAATAGTGTGCTAGCTAGTACGGGGACTCGCAGCAATGGTTTTAAGTTGAAAAAAATCAGTTTTCAGGAAGGATATAGGAAAAGCACTGGTTTGGTATAGAGTTGTGGATGAGTGGAACAAACTCGAGTACCGTCATAGAAGCAAAAACGTTGTGTAGTTTTAAAAATAGGTTAGATAAATACACGAGTGGATGTGGGTGGGTGTGAGTTGGACCTGACTAGCTTGTGCTAATGGGTCTGATGCCGTGCTCCTTCCTTAAGTGGATGTGACCTACCTGACTGGGGCTTGGGCCGGTGGATGATTTGGGCCCCGCCTTTCATGGGCCAATAGGCCTGCTGCAGTGTTACTTCTTTCTTACGTTCTTATGTACTTTCTGTGCCCTTGTATCGTTTGTAATGGTAAAACAAAGCTCCAGGAGAGCGAAACGTAACCATAGTAAAATGACACATTAGTTGTACATACATATGTCCTATCACCTAACACACACACACAAAACACACACCACACACCACACACACCACACCCACACACACACCACCCCACACACACACACACACCCCACACACACACACACACACACACCAGTAGGCTTCTCTAATGATTGTAGGACTAATGGCGTAATATTCGGGATTTAATGTATGTAGTAGTTTTGTTGGGCATTAACTTTATTTGGGCTACGCAACATGGATGTTTTTTTCATATGTACTCGAAAACTAAAAATTAGGTTGGTGTTTAATATATTTAATAAGCCTCATTTTTTCAATGGTTATTTGATATTTTATGTTAGATTTGTTGGGACAAGGAATTTGCTGATTTGGAGGTATATAAGCAGCTGCTTAGTACTGTTGTTAAATTTTAAAGGGATGAACCGATAAGCCAGCACAAGGCCTCGGTCAGATGATCAAAAGACCTGCGTTAGAAAAAGCTTGTCCTGTTTCCTGATGAATCTTACCTAACCTAACCTGGTGACTCAGTTAACCTGGGTCATCATGGGGTAAATATATTTGTCATTGAGGACTCTTCTTGTGTGAAGCAGTGGATGTAGGATCGTGGAAGGCCCTGTGACGTACAAAGAACCGGAAACAGTTTTAGCAGCAATTTTAGCTCCCCCAAAAGTTATAGCAGTGTTTTACACTGGATCTTGTGGTGTTCGCCCGAGGCCCCTAATTGAAAGTGTAAGACTGTGGTAATAACACAGACATGAAAATGGCTTATGATGCTATATAGGAGTAAAACCAAGACATAATTTGAGGGGTAAACAAGAACTTTTAGAGGGAAGGGGGAAAGATATTTTGGTCCCTGTAATACTACCCTTTGGGGATCATTTATATAAATAGCTTTGTGTATATTACCCGAAGGGTTTCATTCTTCAGTCTTTGAAAGAATATGATAGGTAGAAAGTTGAAAGTGAACATAGAAAAGAGTAAGGTGATGAGGGTATCAAAATGATTTAGAAAAAGAAAAATTGGGAAATATCTTATTGGAGAGGAGGAATATGGAAGAAGTGAATGTTTCAGTATTTGGGAGTTGACGTGTCAGCGGAGGGAATTTGTGAAGGATGAGGTTAGTCACATAATTGATGAAGGAAAAAAGGTGAGTGGTGCATTGAGGTATATGTGGAGACAAAGAACGTTATCTATGGAGACAAATAAGGGAATGTATGAAAGTATAGTAGACCAACACTCTTATATGGGTGTGAAGCTTGGGTTGTGAATGCTGCAGCAAGGAGGCAGTGGAGATGTCCTGTCTAAGGGAATGTGTGATGTAAATATTATGCAGAAAATTCGGAGTGTGGAAATTGGGAGAAGGGTGTGGAGTTAATAAAAGTATTAGTCAGAGGGCAAAAGAGGGGTTGTTGAGGTGGTTTGGCCCATTTAGAGAGAATGAATCAAAGTAGAATGATATGGAAAGTATATAAATCTATAGGGGAAGGAAGGCGAGGTAGGGTCGTCCTCGAAAGGGTTGGAGAAAAGGGGGTAAAGGAGGTTTTGTGGGAGAGGGGCTTGAATTTCCCAGAAAAACGTGCGTGAGCGTGTTAGATAGGAGTGAATGGGGGACGAAGGGTTTTTTGGGGACCTGACGAGCTGTTGGAGTGTGAGCAGGGTAATATTTAGTGAAGGGATTCGGGGAAAACCCAGTTATTTTTATGTAGCCGGACTTGAGTCCTGGAAATGGGAAGTACAATGCCTGCACTTTAAAGGAGGAGTTTGGGATATTGGCAGTTTGGAGGGATATGTTGTGTATCTTTATAGGTATATGCTTCTAAAATGTTGTATTCTGAGCACCTCTTACAAAAACAGTGATTATGTGTGAGTGTGGTGAAAGTGTTGAATGATGAAAGTATTTTCTTTCTGGGGATTTTCTTTTTTTTAGGTCACCCGCCTCGGTGGGAGACGGCAGACTTGTTAAAAAAAATTAAAATTTTTGGTCCCATTGCTTATTTCCTTGTATTATCCCCATATATATATTTCATTCCCCTTGCAATTATTTCTGATTGTTTTTAACCCCAGTACTGACAAATTATGGGCGCTTTTATATAAATATATAATTATTGCTCCTACTAGCTATTCCTCAGATGGAGAAGACCTTTGATCTGAAGACTTGGAGTTACTTTCCTTCAGATGTTGCTTTGCTCCATATGAGCTTAGCGCTTCTTCGTAAATATTAGTGCACAAAACAGACAGCTGCGGTAAGAGGGTCATGACTGAAATTTAAGATGCTAAGGGGAGTCATCAGCATTAGAGTAGATAGCAAGGAAAAACAGTGTGAAGCCTTTACGTTTCGCCCACACATTAGACTCAAATTCTTTGAATCGAGAGCCCTTAACCGATGTAAAGACGATAGGATTTAAATTTAATAAATTAACTGTATATATGTATCTCTTCTCTTCACAACTGTGTTCATTCTGTGCTCTCCACTATCTCCATGCTCTTCACCATTCTCGCCGACCATCGTCAGTCTTCTGCTACTCCTTCAGGTCAGTACCCCTTCACGGTAGACGAGGCTACGGGAATGTCGCTGCCGTTAGACAAGAACTTTTGGGACGACCTGCTGGACCAGGCAGTCACATGGGGCTTGGCCACCTACGAGCAGGACTGGCTTGACAGACAGTACATGCATACCAGGTCAGTGAATGTATATCAGGTCAGTGAATGTATACCAGGTCAGTGTGCACTACATCATCGAGTATAACGTGTCAGTACATAAAATACAAGACCGCATTTACACCAGGCAAGAACGTGTGCAACCGGGCTGTTGACACTTTTGAAAAGGTACTTTGATGTTGAAGGGCTCTTTATCCATGGAATTGGAGCTCTTCTCCCCTTGAATCAAAGTTGACTTTGGAAATAAAATCAGCCATTCTTTACTAATTTTGAGTTAGTGAATATAGAAATAATGCAAAAAGTCGCCAACTGTGAAAATTTGTGAGGGCTGCCTCCAAGTGAGTCGCCTACCCTGGCAAACTCTGTTGACACCGAGCTCTGAGTTGGGTACCTCAGCCTCACAAGTGGCTTATAGGACAGATTTTCACAAATGATTGATGTTACAAGAAAACCTCGCCTGCATGCACGTATAAAGGACTAACTTACTTGGTGTTGCAGCATATACCCTGATCTTCACTTCTCTAAGCTTAGCCTTAGCCCCTTTGGACTTCCCCTCAGAAACCACGTGCAACCGGGAGCCTTAATTCCTGCAATATTCAATCATAATTAGTGCCCTGCCTGCACCTCAGAAATTCCTATATCCAAGAGGGTATGTATCCCCTAGTATAACTATGCAGACTCAGACACTAGTTTTCCAGACTGCTCTGGGGACACTGGTACTTACTGGGCATGCTCAACCTGTTGCAACCGGGCCCACAGTCAAAACTCAACTCACAAACTCTCCAGACACTGGCCAGAATTCTACGAGAAATAGTGGTCTTGTCTTACTGTATGGGCCTGACGGAGGAGGTCATCTACGGAACATCGAGGTGCCTCTACCAGATTTCCCCAGGTCTCAGTTGTGAAGACACGTGGGGGCGCCGTCTGCTGATCACGGCACGTATTGTCCAGTTGGTGTCTGTCTAAGAGGGACGCTATTGTCATTTAGACCAGCGCCTCCTCATTCAAGCTAGGGCTGCCAGTTCTCCCTAACTAACTTAACCTAGTGTTTGCCTACAATATCGGCCTATTACTACCTATGTTAAGGTATTAGGTCTACATTATTATTATCTACAGATACCTTAGTAAATAATATTAATATACTAACAGTAAACTACCTACTCCTTCCCTGAAGAATAAATCTATAAATTAAACACATCCCTACCAAGAAACCCATCGTCGACCGGGAAAGAATGCTCTCATGTTTGGGTGGGGTATAAGGGCCATCCAGCTCAGCCATCCCGTACGGCCATGCTGGATCTGTCCTGTGGAACTTTAGGGACCAAAAAAATTTCCACATCCTCCACCGGCGAAGTAGGTGCTAAGTCTAGATCAAGTCTCCCTCCGCAGGCCCTCCCAGTGGGCCTGGACTTGAGCGCAGTTCGACGGGTCGTCGGCCCGCTCAGCTCGGTCAGCCTCTGGTCTAATTTTTCATGTCCCGGTCCACCGTGTGGCCCTCGAGGGGTTTAAAAGCCTGTTGATTGGGTCTTTGTCTCGACACCATTCATTCTCACCTTCACCATTCTCAACCGCCCAGCCTTGTCTGGGGGGGTTGACACTACCAGGCCAAGAGGCCAGTATCCCCGGGGCGCCTTGGATTCTACTAGCACCAGGTCCCCTTCACTTGCATCATCTTATTTGCCTCGGGGTCGGCACCATAGAAATTTTCCCCGCAAGGTTGTCAAGTAACCCCCTGCGCCACCCCTGGTTCCATTTGTCCAGGAGGTTCACCAGTCTGTTGTGATCCTGTGCAGTTCTTCGTGATGGGGGGCCCATCTGGCCCATAATAATCCAGCTCCTTGGAAGACTGACTCAAAATTGCAGGGAAGGGCTCAATCCTCCTTCCAAACAGCATGTGATTGGGGGTGAGAGCTTCCTGCTCGTCAATCCCATTTTGTACGTAGTCAGAGGCCGGTTATTAACTCTGCCTCTATCTCAAACTAACACTGTCCTCAGTTCATCAAGCTCACTCCCCTGCCATGCAAGACCTTCTGAATGCACCTTTTGACTGGGGCCCACCATGCATTCATAGAATCCCCTTGCCAAGGCGCCCTGGGAGCTATGAACCTCCACTTGCACTTATTCTCTTCAGGTGTTTCTCGTACTTCTCCGTTGTCCCTAAGATTCCTGAAAACTTTATCGGCAGCCCTTAAAGCTTGTGCCATTGTCCGAGATAATAAAACGGGGGCCCACGAGAATCTGGCTGTAAACCTCCTGAACAGCTTCACGAAAGTCTCTGTTGACATATCTTCTGCCAACTCCAAATGCACAGCTCGAGTAGTGGCACAAGTAAACAGGCAGACATATACTTTCGAGGGCCCCCTATCATCTCCTGGGTTCTTCAATGTGATAGCCCAGTATAGTCTATTCCCACAGTCTCAAAGGGCCTGTCACTATGAAACCTGCCCCTGGAGGCAGCGGTGGTGGACCTGGGTATGGTAGGGTCCTCCATCGTACCGCCGGCAGACCGTGCAACTCTTTAGCACCCTTTTGACGGCAGCTCGACCCTTCAGTTCCCCAGTAATTCTGATGTAGGCAGGTGAGGGTATCTCCTAACCCCCCTGTAAGGTCCTCTGATGGGCATCTTGTATCAATAGCTCTGTCGCCCATCCCCCCTTTTCCCCAGTAGCACGGGATGTTTGGCCCCATAGCCGAGCTCAGAGTTTTGTATTTTTCCCCCTGCATCTTTATTAGCCCGCATGATTGGAACAATCCCAATGAGTGAACCAATTTGCTGTTCCCTGAGTCGTCGTCGTTGGTCACGCACCCTGACGCCATAACCTGCTGCCTGGTCGCAAGTAAATTCCAGCACTCCTGGAAACCTTCCCTTTGGTACTGCCTTATCCCAAAAATTCTCTGGGACCCCCGAGAGACAAATGTCGACCTTGGCTTACTTGTCATGCAGCTTCCTCACAAATTGAAATACCATTCCGTGACTCCTATAAGTTTCCTCCATGAGGAGTAGCGCCTGGGGTCAAATAATTCAGTGTCGGGTTCCCCCGCAAAGTGTACTATGCTGCTGGTTGTCTCCACGAATTTCTGCTCCGGCCAGCAATCCTTTGCTGGTAACCCGTCTGGGCCTTTGAACCAAATCTCACTTTTACTCAGCTTTTTGTGTGTCACCCCTCGGCTTATCAGGTCGGCTGGGTTTTGATCTGTAGGCACATACAGAATTGTTGACGTTGACTGCAGTTCCGTATCTCCTTTACCGATTCCTGACATAGGGGAGCTTAGACCTGTCGTTCTGGACCCACTGTAAGGCCACCTCCCAGTCTGTCCATACATAGGTGTGTCTCACCCTCAGATTACTCAACACCTCCTCTATGTACTTACCCAGTCTTGCACCCAGCAACATCGCCGTGAGCTCTAGCTTTGGGATCGAGCAATCCTTCAGGGGTGTCACCCGCACACGACTGGTGACCAGATTGACTTGGTACCCCGGCCCCCAAATATGCTACTGCCCCATTTGGCCCTGGAGGGGGGCATCACAGAAGACGTGCAAGTCATAATCCCGCCCGGTGCACCCGATGGACCTGGGGAATGTGAACTCATGCAATTCCGCTAGGTCTTTGCTAACCAGATCCCACTCCTGGCAGACTGTTTCTGGCAGTGGGTCGTCCCAACCTAGGTTCAGCTCCCTGGTCTGTTGCACTAGCATCCTCCCTCGAATGGTGATGGGTGTCAACAAACCCAAAGGATCGAAGGCAGTCTGCACTTTGCTCAGCAAAGACCTCCTGGTCAGCTTCCCTTCCCCATCAGGTTTCCTCTTTAGCCTAAGTCTGTCTTCCTCGATTTCCCACTCCAGTCCCAACACCGATGTTACCTCAGGTACTGAGTAGCCAGCATAGTCACGTTCCACTGTGCCCCGCAATGTTGGATTGTTTGTCACCCATTCTCTCAAAGGCATGTTAGCCGAGAGCATCTCCTGATTAGACTCTCGGTAAATGTCCATCAACAGCCTTTCATCTGAGGTGGTACCTTGCATGTTGTCTACATAAAATAGGGTCTTCAGTAATCCTTTAAGTGGGCTGTTACAGTTCACAAGGTGGTAGTCTATGGTAGCCTGTAATAAGAATGGTGAACTAGTGGCACAAACAACACTGCCCCGAATCTGTAGGTATCATACCTTTCTTGGGCACCTCCCCGTTAGCCAACCACAAGAACCCTTTTGTAGTCCCTGTCTTGTGGCTGCAACCCAATACGTAGAAAGGCTTTGCTAATGTCTGCCGCATAGGCGTACCGTTCTGTCCTGAATCTCAACAGCACATCTGCTAATTTCTGCATCAGGGAGGGCCCTGTGAGCAGACAGTCGTTCACCGATGGCTCTCGGGGACTCGCCTGCGAGCTGCAGTTGAAGAAATACTCTGATGGGAGTGGTTACCGACTCCTTGGTGACTGCATGTGTGGAAGATAAGGGTGTTTTCCCAGGGCTGGCATTGGGCACTTTCTCAATGAACCCAAGGGCCAGCTGTTCCTTAATAATATCATCATATTTCCCCACCAGACCCTTCTTGGTCAGGCTGTTCACCCTGAATTCAAAATGACCCCCTGCCTTCTTGAAATTAGTGGGCAGCGTTGGGTGTCCCGGTTTCCATGGGAGTCGCACCCAATTCTGTCCGTCCCTGAACTGCACATGGTTCAAGTAATCTCGATACATCTCTTCGTGTTCGGGGGGCAGCTGGTCACCTTTAATCCCTACTACATCCAGGTCCCATAGTTTATGGACCGGCTCACTGTCGGATATGCCAACTTGCGTCTCTGACAGACCTTCGTGCACACCAATCCGCATCACCAGTACAGCCTCAGTTGCTGTAATACCAGAGCCATCCTTTGCTGGGGTCGCAGGGAAGTGAGCTGGCACTCTGCCTCCTACGATGTACCCCGCTGGAGTCCTGTACAGGCCAACCCCCTCCTTGATAACCCTTTCGTAGACTGAAATCGTCTATTGTAATCCCTCCTAAACCCGATTCCTACATTACTAA